TCATCTCTACATCTTTCTTTTTGCTTAACACATAAGAAGAGGGATGCATAAATTAAATTATCTCTCATGCTACATTTTAAAGTCTAACCCCTACAATCTTCTCCATTTCATCCTATATTGGATTACTATTAAGAAATGTTTATGGAAATTTATAGAATAACAACGATATAGTAAGAAGGAGAATGAAATTCTCTAAGGTGGCATTTGATAATTCTGAAATATGAAATCTAAAAAGTCAAAAGGCTGCTATTTAGGCCCAAAGTCTAAAAAGCATCATGTTGAACCCATATGGTTAAACTCAAAATAGAGATATAGTGATGGAGCCAATTGAAAACAGAGATAACTTCATATAGTTGAACTCAAATAATTTAACTTGGTAGAAATACCTCAAATAGTTTGAAAGATTAGAGGAATAAGATAGAAAAAGAATAGCAACTCATTTAGTAGAAACCCCTCAAATAGTTAGAAACCCTTGCAAGAGGTGACCTTTAAAGAAAACCTAGAATGATGGAAAATGGAACAATGTTAGGAATTTAGATAATTAGCAGAATAACCCTAATTAAAAACATGTAAAAATTGAGAAGAAGAAAAAAAGCAATCACATACCTTTAGTTAATACTCACCAAAGAAAAAACTCAAGCAGGCGATAATGGTGGAAGCTTCAAAAGTTTAAGAGGAAAGAGTTGATGTTAGGATCGAAATGGGTTTAATGAGAGATAATACATCATTTCCAATTTTTTGGGGGGGGGAATTTAGGACATTGCCAAGCTCTGAAATGCATTTAAGCACAGTAAAAAGCTGGGCCATTTCTTACAATTTTAGATCTAATTTAACTTTTCAAACATTGTGTTTAGACTTAAACATAAATATGCCTAACATATAAAAAGAAAGCTTTTCAAATGTTAGACATTTAACAAGTGTTATCAAATTCCTCATAAGTTCTTTTTCCATAAAATGAGACCCATAAAAATGTAATGTTTAACTTTTTGGCCAAAGTTCAAGATATCACAAGTATTGGTTCATATCAGTCAATACATTTTGGTTTTCATGTATGTTAGCAAGTGGCATGAATAGAATCTTCAATATGTCACATTGTTTGAATGAATTGATACATTACTACATTTAAGAGGGTGTTCTTTTTGTGGTTATGTTCATGTTCCATTTAATTCATGAACACAACCAATGTTCTAAGGAACATTTTCATTTTGTTGTTCATTTTAAAACCTATAAACCATGGTTTTACCTAGAACTAGAAAAATCCCCATTTTTAACACTATGGAATGTAGCTTTTTGAACACACACACACATGGTTCAAAAAGAATGCAATATATGCTTTATACACATGACAAAATATATAATTTTATATAATTTTTAACATATTATATGTTTTTTTTCACATATTATATATTTTTTCAATATATTATATATTAGTGTAACATATGATAAATAGATGGCCCATACCACCAAAGTTGAACGGTGATAGATCACTTGCTTCTATATTCAAATTAGGTAATATTGAAATTAAAATTTGACTTTTTAACACGTTTTAACACATCTTTAAATTTTCCTAATTAGTAATTACTATAATTCACAAGTTTTGGTATAAAAAACTACAATTAAGAAGGTTTGAACTTTGGTCATTGGTTTGAAAGAACATAAGTTTACCATTGTTGTATTCTAATTGGTTGTCAAAATTATAGGCATCTTGATTCTTAACTTTAATTTTTTTTTCTTCTTAGCATATGCTTGTTAATAAGTATTAAAATTGATTATTAAAATATATATAGATACATTAGCACAAACCATATTGGTTTTTATGAGAATTAAGGTTTAAAGATAAATATTCTAGTTACTTTTATCATTTTCAACAATTACAAACTGTGCCCTGGTACCTCTAAGAATCAAGTATGTTTTTTATGTATAAATAGCTTATTTATAGTCATCTATTGTTATTAATAAATTTTTAGGATTTGTTTAAGTTTTCTAGCATATTTATGTGTGTCTTAACTTTTCTTCCATATCCATGCATATCGAAAGTATATCATGATATGTCTTTTAAAATTGCTCTTTTGGTACTCTTTGCATGTCTAATACATTTTTGAACCATTGTTGACCTGGACGGTTAGATTGTTTAGCATGGGGACCATTCAAGCAAGTGGTTCCGTTTCACCCTTAACCTGGGTCCTTGGCCTAAAACTATTGATTTGGTAAACAGCCCGCTAGCTTGGGTGGTTGAACTGCCGATCCTTTCAACCTGTTCAACGGTTTTTGGCCATTTTTTATTTTATTATTTTTTATTGTTTTTAATTTTGTAAGTTAGAACAAGCCATCTATTTGAACCAGATGATTGAATTATTAACACAGAAACAAGTGGCCAGAACGGTCCTAATTCTGGGCCAGTTTTAAAACCTTGCATGAACTTTCTATATGATTAACTGTTCTTCAATTAAGAAAGAATTCAAAATAGCATGTCTAAACAAGGTTTTTTGCATTTCACTTATAATCAATTTTTTTAATAAAACAAAAGGGGCTACACAAGAATAGGGTAGCACATTCCCAAAAATCACTGCTATAAGTGTAACCAAGGGAGGAAGGGAAGTTCCGAATGTTAAAGTTTAGAAAACCTATCCTAATAGATTGAGCTTAATGAGCTAGCCGATTTGTAGCTTGATTGCCTCTTGGTAGATATGACGATACTTTATTCCATTCCTTTTTTTTTGGGAAAATTCTCGATTAGTACCTTGTACTTTGGGCCTAGTGCCACTTTGGTCCCCGAACTTTAAAATGCGATAATTCAATAACTGAACTTTCAAAATGTGTCAATCCAATACCTGTCATTAACCAGCCCATTAACCATCTGTTAAATGACATTTGAAAAGACACAAATGCCCTTTGAGTGTCATCTAATTTTCTTTATCAAACATCCATATGTTGATAAAAAATGAACAGTCTCAAATCCTTGCCTCTTCTATTCAAGAAAGTTGGGGTTACGTCTCAGTGGGCATTCTGTTGACCCCAACTTTCTTGAACAGAAGAGGTAAGGATTTGAGACTGTTCATTTTTTGTCAACGTTTGGATGGTAGATAAAGAGAACTAGATGACACTTGAAGGGTATTTGTGTCTTTTCAAATGGCACTGAACGACTGGTTAACGGACTGGTTTATGGAAGGTGCTAGATTGTCATGTTTTGAAAGTTTGAGTACTAAATTGTTGTGTTTTAAAGTTCGGGAACTAAAATGGCACTAGACCCAAAATACAGGGTACTAATATGAAAATTTCCCTTTTTTTTTTATAAACACTTACCAAACCAATTTGCAGCTCAATATATGTTTTAATTTTTCCTCCATAGTTCAGATCTGTGCCCCACAACGTCCCACAGCACATCCCCGCCGTGTATTAGGAACATCTCCCGATCATCATTTCTAGTACTATCATCGGGAGATGTTCCCAATACACAGCGGGAATATACTGTGGGATGTTGTTGGGTGCCCCCATGTGGGGTGCAGATGTAAAATCAGCCAGTTTTATAATCAATGTTTTCAACCCACTATTAACTCATTTGGTTAAATCAATGATTCAGTCACAATACCGATTTAAATCAACTTCCGACCTCCAAAAAGAACCTCAAACCAACTATTTTCCAAAAACCCAATGACCCAGTTAACCCGTTCAGTGAATTATCATGTTCTTGTATTATTTTTCTTATGTTGATGACATCACAGATTGATCTTGCCGATTGAACAAACAACCAGCTGACCCAGAGGGGAAATGGGCCCAATACTGTAAGGCTGCAACTTAGCCAGGCCCAACTTGTGCTCAACGTAACCCAATCAGAGCTTTTGCGTCATTGCATGGGCTGGACTTGGGCTTAACGACTTTGGATTAAGTCTGGGCCGGAAAAAACTTGACCTGGCTCTAACGGCATGGGTTGAGCCTCAGACCGGGCCCGATCTCATCCAACCTAACCCGATTTAGCCATGACCTCCAATCAGACTGGGTGTTGTCAGTTCTTGTTGTTCAAAATCCAGCATCATTGGGCCTGACCATTTGGAGGTCCCGTTGTGGAAGCCCATATACCGAAAGCTCGCATTATGGGCTTTGTATTTGCTTTGGATTTAGGGTCCGTTTGGTTTGCAGTCGGATTTGGAATCAGAATCAAAATCAAAATTTTTTGGAATTTGAATTGGAATGGTCCATTCTCATAGTCTGTTTGGTTCAAACAGGAATGAGAATGGCCATTCCCTTAAATGGGGGAATACCATTCCAGCAAAAATGAGAATGGAATTCCAATTCCATCCAACCAAACAATTGAAATTGGAATAGCCCATTCCGATTCTGTTTCCAGACCCCTATTCCCACGAACCAAACAGGGCCTTAGATTTAGAGGGCACATTTGCTCATGTAACAAACCATTGATTTGGTTCTAACACTGATTTGCACCTTTTATTTTTGACTCCCTTCCTTTTCGGTCCAAACAGCAAACTCCAAAGCCTGAATCAAGATCTGCTAAACTTGCTCTCTTAGGAGTACAATTTTTGCTTAGAATAGGACTTTTTTGCCGGGATGGGCTGGGCTGGGCTGGGCCCGGATTAGAACCTGAGATAAAATCTAGTCTGGGTCCGGACCTAAAAGGCTAGGTTTTGGGCCTATGACTTTATATTTTATGTGTTTCAAAGTCCACCCATGAATTTTGATAACTAACACTTTATTTGTTACTACATTTATGATTTCAGTTTATTGGTTAGTTGTTTTTTTTTTATTTTATATCTTTTCTATAGTCGAACCTATTAATATAATATATATAAAAATGGGAAAATCAATGATGCAGAAAAGATATAGTATGGAAAAAGTTATAAATAATGTACTTTCCGGGCCTAAAGAATTGGGCCCAGGCCTGGCCCGGAAATTTGAGGGCCTGATGCAGGCCCGGGCCCGGCTGAAAATGATCATTGATCACCCCTACTTTTGCTCCTCCATCTGCGTTTGTTTGTGGTGCAAACTTCGACCAGGTTTAAATTTGTACCGGTTCGAGTTTGTAGCCGTCTGTTTGAGGTAGAATTGACCCATTTTGCGCGATGCAAATTTTGCATTGCGCTCCGGTTTGCGTCCCTCCCCCTCTCGCCCCCTCTTTCGTTTTCGAGTCGTGACTGCCGGCCGTCGGACCCTTGTTGCAGCGGCGCAACGTTCAAGAGAGATCTCCATTGGAGTTCAACTGTTCAGATCCGTGAAGGTGAGCACGGTCTATTTCTACCTTTCACCTTCTTGTTTGTGAGAACTTTTGTCGTTTTGTGCACTATCCGTTCGGTGATCCCTTTCAGTTCGTCGATATGCCGGAAAATGCCATTAATACCAACCTTAACGCCCGAAGATAGCCGACTAAGCACAGATCTGTGTAGTTCTCACGGGCATATGGCCGGAAATTCCTTTTCCACTTTTTCATTTTTTATTGTTTTAGGATTTTGTAGTTTATACTCATCAGTCCATACCTGTACCTCAAGTTCTTCTTCCTGTTAAGCATAGATCTGTGTGGTTATTACAACAATACAGCCAGAAGTTTCCTTCCACTTTTTTTTTATTTTTGTTTTATTTTTGGGTTTTTTGGAATTCATACTAATCAATCCATGGCTGTACTTCAAGTTCTTCTTCCTGTTAAGAAGATTTTGTTATCATTGTCTTGTTCCTCACTGATAACAGTGTCAAGATCTTGTTCTGATTCATGAATCAGAGGATCCGTTTCACAACTTTAACTAACAATGTTGGTTCAGAAAGATCTATTATTGCATTTCTTTGACAGAACCTAAAGCGGAGTAGTTATGAGATTCAAGTTGTTAATCCTACTAGTTGAGGTGATCCTCCGCTAATGTTGAAAGGTTACACTTCTACAAAGGCCTACCGAGTTAATGGGTTTTATCTTATTTTATAGGATTTACCGCTGTTAATCTAGCAAGACGAATTTCTTTTACCGGTTTTCTGACAGGGGAGGTCCTGAGAACTCAGAACTTCATATTTTGCCCGTATATGTTCCAGGGCCTCATTCGTAGCCCTGGTAAGGAAGGAGTAGTGACAGAGTAATTGGGAGCACATCGCTGGAAAAACCATTTTGCTGAGAGGAGTTGAGGAGAGGACATAGTTTACTTGAAAGGATAAATAAGTGCCGGTAATTATGTTTTATTATGTGAGCATGTTTTCACTTGATTCAATTCATCACATTCCCCCCCCCCCCCCCCCCCCCAATAAACATCTACATTCCATCTTTTGAACTTCTACAGACAATTATTTTTGTTTTGGTTCTGCTAACTATAATTTGGTATTTAGGCTAGTGGTTATGACTTCTAAACTGAAATGATGTCATGGGTTCCATCCTTGAGCTTATGACCATTTTGGAGAGAAAGGTAGTATTTTTCTCAGGATCCTAGTTGGCATGTTGCATCAAATATTTTATACACTGGGCAAAACTAAATTGAGCTTTCTGAGTATTATGTATAGAACATGAACTAAAAATCGAAAATATACCTTGGTGGCTATTGTTATTATTATTGTTATTGTTATTGTTACTAAAATTACTATTTTGTTGTTGTAATTGTTTATATTTTATGAGTTTTGATGTATACTTTGATTGTTGAAACCAGATGTACCTGAACTAGCTCATATTATGTAATCATGTGTTCATTGTTCAGGAAATTGCTAACCATGTTCATACTCGGTGCTAAGATATGCTTATTCCCATCGAGGTGTTCTTGTCAATCCTCAACTTTGTTACGCATCCTTCCAATTTGTTTAGCTTGGTTGGTGGCCACGTGAAACAAATACTAATGAATGGATTAGTGGAAATTATTGATTTCATATAAGTTGAAGGTTCTATAAGGTCAAGTTCAGAAGACAGCAAACAGTGCATACCAATTTCCAAAGCCATAGACAAAACCAACTCCACATCCACATCCTGCTTCAATGTTCTTTTCTTCCAAGCATTTAAAGCGTCTTCCTTTAAAAGCTTTATGAACCACAGCCATGAATGTAGTTTTGCCACTATCTTCTGTACAACATAATCTACTGCACTGCTCTTATTTTGGAAGACCCTAGCATTCCTCTCTTGCCAATTGCCCTAATACCCAAAGCACTGCTGACTCAGAAGCTAGGTTGCTTATTTTAATCCTTTTTCATCAATAAGTTCACTTTATTTTCTTCAAAAGAATCATGAGATGCAATAAAGATGACGAAATTACCATAATTTTAAGGCTTGTTGCTTCTTTTATTCTTTCCATAGATTCAAGATGATGGAAATAATGCACGAGGAATGATGTTATGGTCTATAAGTATAAATCAGGAATCAAGAAGAAATGAATTTGGAAGCCAACACAAAGGAATAGTAGCCTCAGACTGTGGTGGTAGTGTCAAAACTTAATACAGAAATAGACAAAAATAGGTTGAAACCAACACATAGAAAAAGTGTGATATATAAAAGAGTTGATGGAATATCATGAAAGAAGAATCAGTGATTTAAAAGGCGCGCCTAGGCACACAAGCGAGGTGCATTTTAGGGCATGTGCTTTACATGTTATGTTTATGTATTTTAATTTTGGATAGTAGGTTTTTTAAAACATTTATTTTAAAATTTAAGTTTATATTTTTTATTGATATTATGTTTTTTTTTTGCATTTTTTTGAATTTTCTGACATTTTTATATTTGTTTAGCATTTTTTATGTATTTTTGCGCCTTGCTTCAAAAAGGCACATACCTTGCCTTGTGCCATGTACTTTTAAAACACTGAGAAGAATCAATATAATGAACAGAAACATCAATGCCATTAGTTACCAAAAAAAAGAAAAAAAAAAGAAAAAAAAAAGAAAAAAGAAACATCAGTGTCATTGATGCCATTCCAGAATGCCAAACCTAGGCATTATATTCCAAGAGAATATACTGAATCCCGATATAACAAGATATTCATGTCATGCAAAGTCCAAAACCACCTTGTCTCCAAGAAGTCAAAATTGTTTGGTATGGTGATGATAGACATTTTATCGTGCGACAGATAATGGTATATTGCCTGCTACATGCATATTGCCCAATTCAAACAAGAACTTCAGATTCTCCTACATTCCTGAACTTAAAGCCATTGTTCATAATTGATGTTCAGACCGATTAAAGGATAAGTGTAGTTTCAATTTCATTGAAGAAATAGGGGATCTGGACTGTCAAGTAACCAATATCTTACTAATACCTCATTATCAATACATAAAATGAAACGATCCCATTATGGTTTGTTTGCATTTTAGATTACAAGTTCACCATCTAAATTGAGCTATTCCCCATTATGAAATATTGAATGCAATTATTACAAGATATCAAGAGTTGAATGCATTTTTCTCTCTTAATAATTGGAAATGGTAGAAACTTGTGATCAAGACAGGCAGGTGCTGATTCCAAGGTGCATTGTGCAAGTAAGGATGTTTTTCATCACATCATTTGAACATGCTGCCTTTGTATTGTTTGGTTAAGAATATTAAGTTTGTGTGGTGCCTAAATTAATAGTATGCAAGTGGTAGCCAGTAGAGCCATGCATTTGTGTGGAAGTCTATTAGTGTAATATTTAAATTCTTGTGAGTATTGTTATGTAAGTGGTTGTCAGGAGAGCCATGTGTGTCTGCATGAAGTTTTCTAAGAATTATGAGTTTCCCTCCTATAGTTTAATATTTTAAGTGGTGGCCAAGAAACCATGTGGTTGTGTGGGTTTAATATTTAAATGCTTGTCTTCTCTGTTTCAAATGTTTGTGATGGGTTGTTTATAAGTTTTGATCCCTTATTGCTATGTCTTTGTCTGGAGTTCCATGATTATGTTGGAGTATGGTTCTATTGCTACTTTAATATTTGAGTGATGTCCATTAGGGTTTGATGCTTATGTAGATATTCTTGGTATATGTAAGAAGTGGTTCCTTGTCATCATAGGCTGTCATGGTTCAACCACAATAATCATGACATTGGAACACTTCAGGAAGAGTTAGGAGACTGGTTGGAGTGCTAGTAACCATGTATGGTGCCATTCTAGTCACCCTAATGGTTGGATACCAGCAATTCTTTCCTCATCACAGAGCAAGGGCAGATAGGACATAGGAGTTTGGACCAAGAGAAGTTTCTGAAAGGTACTTTGAATATTAGAGTCTATCACAGATTAGGATGTGAAGAGATTCTTCCTTTGGAAACCTATTTAAATTGCATAGGGAGTGTGGTAGCTTCTGTCCAATGATAATATTAGTTGAAGAGCAAGTGGTCCTGTTTTTGTACACTATCAGGCATAATGTGCAAAACAGTGTAATACATGTGTTTTTGTCAATCCTAGGAGACCATGAGTTGGTAATTTCACAAGGCACTATGAGCTATATTTCATCTCTATCCCCTCCTGTTTATGTAACATACTGGTGAGTAGGTCTCTCCTAAGATTCAGTACCCTCATTTCATGCCATATTATGAGGCATGTTTAGCAGTTAAGGCCATGTTTCATTAGGGATGTCCAATCCAGAAGTTCATTGTGAATCACCATGCAATTGCATTATATAGGATTGCACTGGGGTGATTGATGGGATTCACATCCCATGGGAAGTACATGTCAAGGATTAAGGTAGGTTCTGGAGAAGGAAAGGGAGGGAAACCCATTAGGTGATGGTTGTAGTCACATTTGATCTAATTTATGTGTTGGCTAGCCAGCAAATCTATACAAAGGTCATTTTGATGCAAATTTGGAGGCTTTCATCCTCTGCATTATGGTAAATATATAATGGGGAACATGATAAAATGGTTCCCCCACTTTTGTCTATGACATTTTTATTATAAAAATTGGCTTAAATATAAAAGCATATGAACTGTAAGCCTCTTGGACAAAGTGCAAGAGAGGCATGCACCTCATACACCTCTAGGCTGTGTCGCCAGGCATATGAGTGTGTACCTGAATCACTGAGGGAGATATTCAATCATAGACATTCATCTCTGAAGACTGAAGTTGAGGGTGTATTTGGTTTGTTGAAGAAATGTTAGGCAATCCTCAATGCCACCCAACACTTAGACTTTACCACCCAAAATTACGATCATTATAGCATGTTTTATTCTGGGTTACTATGTTCCATCTTCCATGTAATGGGTATTGATCCAGTTGACTGATTAACCTGAAATGGAATAAGATTTGTGCATCAATAAGTGGTGAGTGTTGAGGTGGTCTCAGATACTGATAAGGTATCTGACTCTGAGACCCTTGTGCAAAAGTTACATAACTGAACTTGCCAGGTGGTCATCATCCTCTGGTTAAATAGGATTTGGCATCTATTGAGATTGGATGATATTGAGGCAATGGAACTGGAGCGTTCAATAGACATTTTCTTTGTTTTTATTCTTCTTTATTTTCTATGATTAGCGGATGATGTGTTTGGACTACTTTTTGGAGCATCTGGCAATGGAACTAGCCAGGTGCTTTATTATGTGCCTTCATAATTTACTTGAACCATCTATGTGCTTAAATGATCTTATGGTTGGACCATATGCTTATATGCTATTTTTGTCAGTGATATTTCAAACGATGTCATGTTCATGTGGTGCATTTATTTCTTTGCACAAACAGAATTTATAGCCTTTTGATATGCTTATTTTTTGATGTTTAACATTTGTCTAATATTATATGGTAGATAGTAGATATGGTGTCTGAGAAAGATGTTGGAAGTTCATCCACTGCTGGGGATGACGAGAAGAAAGAGAAATGGAAAGGAAAAGAGATTCTTTCTGTGAACGACTCTGGGTTAAAAACTAAAAGGAGCAGGCAACTTAGGTGGACAGATGCCATGGATAAAGCCCTAATCAAGCTTCTAGTAGATCAGATTGCAGTGGGAAATATGGTTGACAAGTCATTTAAGCCCACAGCATACAGGTCCGTCTGCAGACATATGCAGGAAAAATTTGGTGTTGAGATGAGGACCGCACATATAAAAAGTAGGATGAGGACACTGAAGCCTGTTTATAGTGAGGCAAGAAAATTGCTTGGAATGAGTGGGTTTAGTTGGAACGAGGCAAAGAATCAGATTCAGGCAGATCCCGGGGTGTGGGAGGAATACATAAAGGTACATAAGTTTTTTCTTATTCATCTAGTCACAACGAAAAAAAGTTAAATGGTATGATGAATATATGATGTAAACTAGGCAGTCAAGGTGTTGACTTGTTTTGTGTAGGAACATCCAAGTGCTGCCATCGTAAAGGGTCGAGTGATGGAGATGTATGACATGATGCAAGTAATTCTAGGAAATGATAAAGCTAGTGATATAGCACCAACTGTACCTGAATTGCTTGAAGAAGAGGATGAGGAAGGGGATGATGATGGAACTGATGTTAAGTGTGGGGATGAGATAGCCACTCCTATAACTGTTAATAATGTTGACGGTGACATCAATGGCTCCCAAACACATTCAACCACACGGGGTGGGTCAGTATGGGCATCTCCAACTAAAAAGAATGCTCATAGAACAAAGAAGAGGGGACAGAATGAATTCATTGCTGCTATATCTCGGATGAATGAAACAATGTCGAAAATTGCTTCTGCATTGACAGTACAATCCGAGCAAGACTTTTTTGACCGATTGTGGCATGAGGTTATGGCAGTGGAAGGATTTCCAAGTGACACACTTAATGCTGTGTTTGGTTATTTGGGCCATAATGAGAAGGAGGCAAGGATATTCCTGGCTAGAAACAAGACATATAGGGCTCAGATGGTGAATAGGATTGTCTCCAAGATACCTGGCATTGCCTACCCTGGTATGACTTTCCCTTGCTTGTAATCTTTGGTTGTTTTTGGATGGCTGTTGCCTTGACTCTTCTTGACTTTTCTGCTGTGACTTGTCATATGGATGGTTCTTTTTGGATGACATTGCTAGTTGTAGGTACTTTCTTTTGATGAAGTGAACCAATCCTAACTATCAGATGGTCAAGTTTATTCTCATTTCCTTAATGTTTCTATTTCAGATAATGAGATACAAAACTGGTAGTTTAGTAAACTTGTAGGAAGGCCAAATCTTAATAATCATTATGATATACCAAGTGTGTGAACAATCATATGTTACTGTTTGTAAGGTGAAATTTCATGTGGATGGGTTCTGTTTTTTTCTGGTAAACCTGGTGGATGGGTTCAGGGGCAACTTATATTGATCTTGTCATTGGAAGGAAGATATGATAAAATACAATGGGTATAGCAGGGGAGCCTCTGTTAACTCTTGAGACCAATGGATGCAGCAAGCAAAATTTTCTGCATGTAAGGGGTGGGAAAGGGAAGTTCACTAAACAGCCTACTTTGTTTGCAGTGCAATTTAATTTGGATTGGCGCAACAGTATGAGAATGAAAATTCTGATTTACTTTTGTTTCAACTTCTAACTTTTTTGTTCGTTTATAGTGCAGATAAGGTAAAATAAAACCTGAAGCAAAGTATAAAAAAGTAAAAGACAAGCCAAAAGTGGACCAGAATCTGCATTCTTCTCATTTGCACTCATGCATTTGCAGTTTTGTACTAGTGCAAATGGAATTACACTGATAATAACAATATGGTAATTCCATTTGTTATTCAAAGAGCGTATGCAATTGCCATCCCCTTCCTATGTCTACATAGTGGGGAAGATCTTGAACATTCCTTGGTAAAAGTTGTATAATCCATCATTGAAACTCCGAAGTGAGAATTTGTACTTTGCTCCTCATAGAGTGTTCTCCACACCAACCTCACAGCACTTTCCAGTCATGGATTGGGAATATCTCCATGAATGACATCATACAAGTATGGGAGATGTTCTTGATGTGCGGCTGCAAGTGCTGTGAAAAGCGCTCTGTGAGGACCAAATCTGGATCCTGAACTGAAACCCGTTTTGACTGGGCAATAGAAGATTGGATCCAAAACTTTTGCCCTTTCTAGTGACTCTTGGTCCCTCCAGGTAGGGCATCAAATGGAGCATGTCAAATTCAAGGCCACCGCCTCTTCCAATCTAAAGTAGCATTTAGCACATTGTGTGATCCTTGTTTCAACAAGATCAGATGTGGAGTCAATGATATAGAACCAAATTATATTTGGGCTGCATATGGATCTAACTATATCCTCATTTCCACTTTATAAACCAACCTTGATATGGCAAACATCAGTGAAAGAGTTGTATTAATATATCGACCCTATTTATTGGATTCAGGTTGGATTGCCCATTTAGATTGTATTTGGTACCACTGTTGTTTACCTGAAATACTAGGATGTCATTAAAGACTTGACAATCAATGCAATCTAGGCATTTTTCCACTCTGGAAAAATGACAAGATCTAAATAATCTTGGCCCTCATCCTAGAAAAGAAAGCATCTGAGATTCTGGATCATTACAGACCAATTAGCTTGTGCAATGTGATTTTTAAATTAACTGTCAAGATTTTGGTAAATTGTATTAAACCATTATTAGCAAAAGTTGTGTCTCCAAACCAATTTGCTTTTGTTTCGGGTAGACAAATCACTGATAACATACTAATAGCACATGAAATCTTCCATTCCATGAAAAAGAAAAAAAAAAAGAAAGGTGGGAACAATTGCTTATAAGATTGATATGGAAAAAACATATGATAAATTAGAATGAGATTATTTAAAAATAACCCTCCTCAAGTTTGGGTTCCATGAGAAATTGGTTGATTGGGTTATGGAATGTGTGATTACAGTGAATTTTCAAATTCTAGTAAATGGCTCCCCAGCTGAAAGCTTCAAACTTAGTAGAGGTATAAGATGGGAGGGTCCTCTATCCCCATATTTGTTTGTCATCTGTAATGAAGCTCTAACAGAACATAGAAAGGCACTCATAAGAGTCACAAAAGGTACATTCAAAGAGCTGGTAGACAAAGTAAAGCAAAAGCTTGATGGATTGAGAAGCAAGACCCTATCCCTTGGTGGAAAAATTACCCTTCTAAAATCTGTTGTGAGGAACATGGGCCAATACCAAATGAATATGTTTGGTATACCAACAAAAATCACAAAGGAAATTGACAAAGCCCAAATACAATTCCTATAGGGAATAAAGAGGAACAATAGAACCTTTGCTTTAACTAAGCGAGACTCAATACGTACGGATACGAAAAATGGGGGCTCGGGCATTAGAAAAACAAAACAAATTAATCAAGCAAATCTGATGAATCAGGCTGGAAGATGATGACCCAAAAGCAGAACTTGTGGGTGATAGCAAATATTTAAATAACTCGGAATTTTTAGACGAAAAAGTTCCAAAAACAAGCTCATGGGTCCGGAAAAAAATTAATCAAGTGAAAGATTTTGTGTGACAGGGAACTATGCAAAGAATTGGAAATGGTACTAACTATAGATCCCGGTTTGATAGTTGGGCTGATACAAGGTTTAAAATTTCGATACGATACGCGTAGCGTATCGATCAGGCGTATTGTATCATATCTTTGAAAAATCGATACAGAATACGCATGAAAATTGGACGTTTCATCTTTTTTCATATATATCAAACCCGTATCGAGAGCGTATCAGGGCGTATCGGGGGTGTATCGGGGCGCATCGGGGGTGCATCAGGGTGTATCAAGGGCGTATCGACGAAAAAGATACAGTCTTTAGATTTATGGATTTATCTATCATATCCATAGAGCAATTGAAATTTCTTCTTTAATATATATTTTTTTATTTTTTATATTTTTAGAATTAAAAAAATAAATAATAATTAATTATATTTTATCATTAGATCACAACAATTGAATATATTATTATTCTATGGATGATCTATCATATCCACAAAGCAATTGAAGTTTCTTCTTTAATAACTATTTTTTGAATATATTATATCATGTTTATTTATTTTTTATAATTTTTGGAAATAAATAATAAATAATTATTAATTATATTTTCACATAGAAGTTGTGCCAATGCATGTTTTATGGTTGGATAGAAGAGTTGGGTTTTTCTCATCCAATAAAACATTAAAACTTAAGAATTATAATTTATAAGTTATAGTTAAGAATAAGATTTTTAATGAAATTATAATTAGTTATAATATATTTTTTCATAAAACCATTAAAATATATTAATTTAATGTATATACACCTCCTTGAGGTCTTATATTTAGTGTTGTTGATGTATTTTTATGATGTATTAAAGTATTTATAGTGTTCACAAGCGTATCTATGTGTATCTTAGTTTTTCTCCGATATGCATGCATATCCAAAATGTATCCCGATACGTCTCTTAAAATTGCATTTTCGATACACTTGACGTTTTCAATACTTTGAACCTTGGGCTGATACAAAACCTTTGAAAGACTGAGATGAAGAGGATCTTGACCTCAAAGTTAGTGAATTTATTAACAAAAAAAAAAAACAATTGGGATATAAACAAGCGATCAAAGTTGGTGCCGTTAGAAATCATTAAGAAAATTAAGACTATTCACATCCCCTCGAGTGAGATTGAGGATAAGAAAACTTGGAGTAATAGCTCTAATGGAAATATCACTTTTAGATCGGCTTATAGTTTCCTAAAAAATAATGAGAATATTGACCTCACAATTTTGAAACTAACAAGAAAAATAAGAAAAATCAATTGTATGGAAAAAAAATCAAAATGTTCATATGGTTGTTGATCAAAACCAAAATCCCAACAAGAAAAAGACTATTTGACAGGGAGTTTAACATAACCCCCCAACTACCAATTTTGCGGGGAAGTGGAGGATCAAAACCGTATCCTAGCAAATTGCTAACTGGCATTACAGGTCTGGGATCACTTGGACATCCCTAGCAGCATCAAACCCAGACATCCCCATTGGGATTTAATATGGTGGAAGAAAATGTCAAGGAAGACACAAATGGAAAAACGTAGGTATGGGAGAAAATAGTCATCACCTGGGTTCCTATGGAAATGATGCAAATGGAGTGTAAATTCCGGTTCATGGTAAATTTGTATTCTGGTTCACTTTTGTTTGTGTTTGGCAACATTCCATTTATGCATTGACAAATGATATAAACTACATTTTTCAATGCATATTTACATGGATAATGAGATGTAAAAGTATATCAATAAAAAAGAAGTAAATTTGCATTTAAGTGGGCTTTTGATAAAAAAAAAAGCATGTGCTTTATTGGACTTCGTGTTTGCATCCATTACAACTAAAAGCCTATTTAGTAAGAAGGTAAATTTGTTAGTGCAAAACTAACCCAACTTTACAATTTATATGGACCATTTTACACTATATATTTGCATTCACACTTATTTGCATTGTTTCCAAACACAACTGATGGAGGGTGATTTGACCCGACCTCCTAATTAAGGGACACGTGGATATGACTCGACGTAAGTGATAGCTCAGTATGACAGTTTGGCCACAACTCAGCGTAATGAGCTCGCTGAAACTCCAGCAGAACAGCTCGCTATAGCTCACTACAGCCCGCTACAGAACGGCTTGCTGCAAGGCAGCTCGCTATTGGAGCTCACTATGAAGGAGTTTGTTACAAGGGAGCTCGCTATTGGAGCTCACTACGAAGGAGTTTGTTACAAGGGAGCTCGCTATTGAGTAACCCGGAGTCTTCGGGTAACGTCTTATCCAACAAGACTGTGCTTTTCAGTCTACTCCCACGTCTCTTGTTCGGTAGCGCAACACCTACCAGTCCAGAGGACTGCGCCCACGTCTCACGTCAGGCGGCGTACACACCAGCTCTACATAACGTCTCTCAGGTGACAGGACCGTACCCTGTGATGGATACCTGCGCCAATCAAATCAGTCTGACAAATAACGGCTATAGCAGAGAGCCAGAGGCAGTTACACCCGATTTGCAGCGCATTAATATATAAGGGCTCCGACCCCCAAGAAAAAGGTAATTGAATTTTTGGTAATCGAGTAGTGCGCATCCCCACTCTTAGCTCGTCATTACTCTATAAGCTTCTCTCTCAGAGTTCTAACTTAAGCATCGGAGTGTTCCCACCGGGCGAGCTCCCC